TTAAGATTCTAAAGGAGCGTTTCAGTGTTGCTGATGCTCTAAAACTATTATATAAGTTTGTGATGAAGCTAATGATATTGTTAAGAAAATTTTTTTTTTTTTTGTKTGATCAAGAAGAAAAAGTTTTAAAATTATTTATGTAATTATTAAAAAGAAAAAATAACTATCCCATCGTCGTGGTGATCAAGCATTGATTGTGGAATCGTCCACGTGGTTACAATCGGAAAGCATCAACGGTGTAGATTCACTCATACAGGCGTAAGTAAAATATCTTTATTTCTTTATATCATCAAAAGAGACCAAAAGAGACGAAAAAAAAGAAAAGAAAATCTAAAACCCTTTTCTCACGATTTATTTGCCGCATCCCTAAACCCTCTCGAATTTCTCCGGCGTGTTTCCGGTGAACAGAGTTCGTCATCTTCGGATTCCTCTCTGTACCCTGGAATTCTACTCAACTGTAAGTGATAATCTGTCTTTCCTTTTTTCGTATTCGTCGATAGTTTTTGAATCAAGGGTCGATTTCTTGCGTCGCTTCATTTTTGGGGGTAAAGATTGTGCTTTTTATACTACCAATCTCGATTGCTTTTCTGGGTTTGGATTCGGTTGAGATGCTTAGTAATGGGTTCGATGAAAGTTTGATTCTTTCCATCTCATAGGTTTTGATTTAGCGATTTTTCCTCTTTCAAATATCAGAGTAAGGACTGTTCTCTTCTGGGAGATGTCCAGGTGATTCTTCTTTACACAACAAGAAAATGGCGTCAAGAGCGATCGTTAGGAGAAAGAGAATCGTTTCCGATTACTTGAATGTCTATGCTCGTTCAGTACAGAGCTTTCAGTCCATTGGAAACTCAGCTCAGACTGTTGATTCACGTGGTTATCACTCTGTGATCAGCCGTCCTCCTTTGGAATCTAACTGTGTAACCGAACACAAGTCTTTGACAGGAAGAGATGGTCTTCTATTGTCTTTGAGAAATGGATATTTCGATCGTAGTTTCCATGGTTCTCCTCACTTCTCTAGCACTGGATATGGAAGCTTGGAAATCGTTCCTTCTCTGGGGATGAGATTCATGAGCGTATCCATTCGTAATGCTACTACAGTTGCAGCTAAGCTACCGGAAGACGAGGATAAGAAAGATGATGGGGTTGCTAAAAATAGGAAAGAGGCATCTCCTGAGGAATGTGATCAAGCTGTTGAAAGTCTGAGCAGTCTTAAAGCAAAGGCCAACGCTAAACGTCTTCTGGAATCCAAAAAGGTTGCTCGATCGATTGTACAGAAGACATGGGCATTTTTTCTTAAGATAGGTCCTGCTTTAAGAGCTATTGCCTCCATGAGCAGGTTTAGCTTTCGTCTGACATTTTGTGTTTTTAATCTCCAGGCTTGTGCATAGTTATTGTTGTGTACTGAATTTCTGCTTTCTACAGGGCGGATTGGGCAAAAAAGCTCACTCACTGGAAACAAGAGTTTGTGTCAACGTTGAAACATTATTGGCTGGGGACCAAACTACTCTGGGCAGACACTAGAATCAGTTCAAGATTGTTGCTCAAGTTGGCTGGTGGAAAGAGTCTCTCTAGAAGAGAAAGGCAGCAGCTAACTCGAACAACGGCTGATATCTTTAGATTAGTGCCATTTGCAGTGTTCATCCTCGTGCCCTTTATGGAGTTTCTTCTGCCAGTTTTCTTGAAGCTCTTCCCTAATATGTTACCATCAACTTTTCAGGACAAGATGAAAGAAGAGGTATGTTTCCAATAGACTGTAGGCTATACACGTTTTTTTATTACCTTCTTGCATTCTGGGTCTCTCTTTTCCATGTTCCTCTTTTGTTAATGTACAGGAAGCATTGAAAAGGAAATTACTTGCAAGGATAGAATATGCTAAATTTCTTCAGGAAACGGCCAAAGAGATGGCTAAGGAAGTTAAACATTCAAGAACTGGAGACCTAAAGCAAACCGCTGAAGATCTGGATGAGTTTCTAGACAAGGTAAAAATTCATGGATTTTGTGTTGGATCAGATACTTCCCTTTCTTTCGGCTTTTGAATTTGAATTTCATTTCCCCGTTCTTAAAATTCTACCCTGCAGGTTCGAAGAGGTCAAGTAGTTCAAAATGATGAAATATTGGGCTTTGCAAAGCTTTTCAACGATGAGCTTACTTTGGATAACATTAGCAGGTTTGTTGCCCCTTTTTTTTAATGTCAGGGATGTGTTGTGACCTTAAAGAGGTACATGTTCTGACAGTAATTACTTCTTTGTTTTCAATACTAGGCCTCGCTTGGTTAGCATGTGCAAATATATGGGTATTAGCCCATTTGGAACAGATGCTTATCTGCGATATATGCTCAGAAAAAGACTGAGGAGGTAAGATGCTTCCACTTCTCATTGATATTAGACTTGTGACCTTGCTTTGATGTTTAATTTTTACTCCTTTTCACTGCAGCATTAAGGAAGATGATAAGCTGATTAGAGCTGAGGGTGTGGATTCCCTTTCAGAAGCTGAGCTACGAGAAGATTGCAGGGAACGGGGAATGCTAGGGCTGGTTTCAGTTGAAGAGATGAGGCAACAGGTTTCTTATCGCTCCTGTGATTCTCGTTTATTTGTTATTCATTTATCAAACTAATCTTTGTTATGTATTCATCAAACTCCATCGGGTAAAGATAATGTTACAGCTTTTAATATTTAACTGTCAAAACAATCTTGCAGCTTCGCGATTGGATGGACTTGTCACTTAATCACTCTGTCCCCTCGTCGTTATTGATCCTTTCTAGGTAGGTTCCAGAATTCTTTTTTTCATTATTTCGTTCTTCCATAGGGTTTATTGCGAATAAATTTCTGATACCAGTTTATATTCAGGGCATTCACTGTTTCTGGAAGAGTTAAAGCAGAGGATGCAGTCCGAGCTACTCTTTCTTCCCTTCCCGACGAGGTTGTGGATACTGTTGGTATTACTTCTCTACCATCTGAAGACCCTGTTTCTGAGCGAAGAAGGAAACTAGAGTACCTTGAGATGCAAGAGGAACTGATCAAGGTCTGATCATAAGCAACTTGATTTTATTGTATTATGCTTGCTTGAGGAAGTTAGAGAACTCAAAATTTCTGTCACATTTTACATTTTGTATATGTAG